CCCTCCCCCACCCCTTCCTCCACTATGCCTTGTTGATTTTTAAATTTTTTGTAGAGACAGGGTCTCAATATGTTGCCTGGGCTGGTCTTAAAGTCCTCCTGCCTTGGCCTCCCATAGTTCTGAGATTACAGGTGTAAGTCACTGTGCCTGGCCTGGGTTTTTTTCTTCTACTTGCTTCATTAGTATTGTAGTGTAAATGTCCATCAGTGTGTATGCTTTATATATTGATTTCAGGCCACAAAATGGGGAATTAAAGCTTTATTTTTGGAGACAGGGTCTTGCTTTGTTGCCTGGGCAGTGGGCGCAATCTTGACTCACTGCAACCTGTGCCTCTCAGGCTCAAGTGATCCTCCCACCTTAGCCTCCCAAGTAAAGCTTTATGTTTTTATAAGAACATTTTATAAACTCTTGTTCACACTTAATTTTGTTTTTTTCCACTTCATCTTGTATTCTTGTGGTTTCCTTTGGGAACACTGTGGCATACTTTGTTGAGTTCTTTTATCATTCCCTAACTTACTAATTGTTCCTATATGGTGAGCCTTTATGAAGCAGCATGGTACTACTTCTAGTATTCAGGGCCTTTGGGGAGAGATGATGAAAATGTAGATCAGAAATATGAGAAGTGGATAAGGCCTTAATTTGGGGCATCCTGAAGAACTGATTGTCAACCTGGCTTTGCTGGATTGATTATGTGCTTTAGGTGGTCTGTGCTTCTGGAAAGTAAAGATCCTTTTTCGAACTACATGATTAGTGTCCAATATCATTAGCTTCTGTATATGCAGTTTCTTCCTTAGAAAAGAAAAATCTGCTCTTTTTTTTCTTCTCCCAGTGATTTAGCAGAATTTTTAAATTTTCTTCAGGTAGTTAAACCAGAGAACAATGACAAAGAAACAGAAGCTGCATATGAATCAGATATCCCCGAGGAGCTCTGTGGACGCCATCTCCCGCAACAGTCCCTGAAAAGCTATAATGACAGTCCTGATGTCATTATAGAGGCTCAGTTTGATGGCAGTGACTCAGAAGATGGACATGGCATCACACAAAATGTGCTGGTTGATGATGTTAAGAAACTCTCAGTTTGTGTTTCTGAAAAAGGTGAGTACTAGACTATTGTCTGACTTTTTTTCTTTTTTTTTTAAATACACTGATTAAGTATTGGAATTCCCTCTCGGTTACAGAGTAGATAACACAATGCAATTGATATAGTCCTAATTTTTGACCTGTGGCAGCTTTTAGAAAAGGGGGAATCTTTGACAGATTTAGCTACTGGTTATGAAAGAGGGGATGAAAGTGCTACCAACGGTTTGTGTGGGCAGTAGTTGCAGTTGCCACATTCCTAATAGGCTTGAGCTGTGTTGCTGGGTAACGTTGACATCTCTTGCGAAAGGCCCAATCCTGTGGCTGATGTGAACACAATTAAACTGGTATGTAAAATTCTTATGAAAAATCACTTTATTTTACTCTCAATTTTACTTTAAATATCTTTTAAAAGTATTTTTGTCGGCCAGGTGCGGTGGCTCACACCTGTAATCCCAGCACTTTGGGAGGCTGAGGCGGGCGGATCACGAGGTCAGGAGATCGAGACCATCCTGGCTAACACGGTGAAACCCCATCTCTACTAAAAATACAAAAAAATTAGCTGGGCATGGGCCAGGTGCGGTGGCTCACACCTGTAATCCCAGCACTTGGAGGCCGAGGTGGGCGGATCACGAGGTCAGGAGATCAAGACCATCCTGGCTAACACGTTGAAACCCCATCTCTACTAAAAATACAAAAAAAAAAAAAAAAAATTAGCCAGGTGTTGTGGTGGTCGCCTGTTGTCCCAGCTACTCAGGAGGCTGAGGCAGGAGAATGGCATGAACCAGAGAGGCGGAGCTTGTAGTGAGCCGAGATCGCACCACTGCACTCCAGCCTGGGCAACAGAGCAAGACTCCGTCTCAAAAAAAAAAAAAAAAAAAAGGTATTTTTGTCACTTCTAGTGGGCATGGATCACTCAAAATTTTATAAATAGATAACCTTAGAAAGTATTTTGATTCTAAGCCTTTTAAAAAGCCAGTCTTGTTTACTCTGATTGAAATCTAAGCCATGGGTCCTCTGGATGCAGAGAAAAAGCAGTTGTAAACACGAGAGCTGTGACCACGGACCCTACCCGGCCACAAGCTAGGAGACTTAAGGAAAGTATTATGTACAATTTGAATATTTCAAGGTAGAGATTTTGAAGAGATTCTACATAGAAGGAGTATATTTTCTAGCCAAATTGAATTTTATGTATACTATTAATGGAAACCGACCAACTCTGACCTGGCCAGGCTGACTAGATAATGAGCTTTGTTATCAAGAAGTTTCTGGCACAGTTCCCACAAAAGGCTAGGAGGAATGCCAGAAGATTACTAAAGGAGGATGTTCAGCAGACAACTTGTTTAGGGACTGCTGAGCATATGTCCCCACAGCATAAAGAAAGCAGAATGTGTTTTCAGGACATGACTGCAGAAGGATGACTGCTTTTCTCCATTGCTGATGAGGTAGTGATCTGTGAAAGAAAGCATTTTTGGAAAGCATGTGGTCTTTGTGGTGCCAAGTACTCCTCATTCAGAATGACTTTCCAATTCTGAAATTCTTCTTGACTGAAGAGGCTCCTACTTCCTGTGTCAGGTACTGCTATGGGCCCCGCCAGGTATCACTCACTTCAGGGTACCCAGGTTCCTTTTCTTTGGGGACATGTTTAGATAACTAGTGGGTTCCATGTTAAGAGCTCAGTCAGTTCCTTTTGGATGCTATTCCTTGACATTTCATTCTTGCGATTTTTCTACTTTCTTTTCTTTTAAAATAGTTGAATACTGTGACATTCTTCTTAAAGTAAATGTGCATTATCATAATCACATCAGTACTATGAGTCATGTATTTTCAGTGAGAAGAGTGGCAAATAACCAGGACTCTAAGTAGCGAAATCCTTCATTAACATGATCAGCAAGGAAGAGAGAGATTCACAGGATAAAGTCAGGCAAAGGAACACTTTAAAGCCTATTGTTAGCTTAAAACTACTTCGTGGAAACCCAGCTCTGGTGATAGGCTTGGCAGATCTCAGCAGCCTCTTTTCCTCTGGGCTCCAAGTGAAGGGGTAAGACACATTGATCTCTCATTAGTGGTTGGTACAAATACAAGGACAAGGAAATACTGATGGATGGAAGTGACAGCAGAATTGATGCCTGGGTTGGATGCTAATAGTTCATTTTGTTAGCATCCAACCCAGAGTTTTGGGAAACTCTGATGCTATACCTCCTCTTGATTCACCCTCTATTATAATTCTCCCCCCACACTCCTTTTGAGACAAGGTCTCACTTTTTCACCCAGGCTAGAGTACAGTGGTGTGACCATAGCTCACTGCAGCCTTGACCTCCTGGACTCAGGCGATCTTCCTGCCTCAGCCTCCTGAGTAGCTGGGACTAAAGTGTGCACCACCACACCCAGAAATTTTTTTTTGTTGTTGTTTTTTAATAGAGACAGGGTCTTGCTGTGTTGCCAGGGCTAGTCTTGAACTCCTGGCCTCAAGCGATCCTCCTGCTTTGGCCTGCCAAAGCACTGGGATTACAGATGTGAGCCGTCATACCTGGCCCCTCCCTCTTTCTTATAAGTAAATATCACTGAGTACATTACAAGCCCACTGTATGCATGTTTCTTTCCTTATTCTTTTTGCATCTTTTCTAGCCTGTTGTTACTTATATTACTTCCTTAGTAGCCCTGACTGAGGGAACAACCTTAATCCTTCCCTCAGTATCTGGTACAGATTTCTCTTTTCTGCTAGCCTCTAAATAGAGAGTTTGTGAAACCACATGGCTGTTTCTCATTTCTTGCCCTCTTGATATTTAGGAAAATTGCAATTTGCTCTTTTAAAAATCACAGCATTTTTAAGGATATTTCAACCAACTTCTCTTACTTGGGATAATAAAAAAAATCTGGTTACCATTAGGATGTTAGTACTTTTTGCACTATTTAGGGTTTTGAAGTTTGTTATTGAAACAAACCATAACCTTAAGAATATCAAACTTTTCCTAAGACTTCTAGAAAGATTCTTTGCTTTGTGTTGTACTTGCAAGTGGATTATTAATCCTGGTTCATGCTTGTGTTTAAAAGTGTTTTTTTTGGTTGTTTTTGCTGTAGTATTATGTGTCTTTGCCCAAAGCAAATGCTCCATATTGCATGTGTATTTATAGCATATACCTATTTGCTGAGGAAATATTTATATCTTTGTGATAACTAACAGTTTCTCTGGTAAGAGAGCACATTGCTCCTGTTGTCTGTAGCAAGTGCCTATCATTGCATTAAGAGAAACATCTCAGCATCTCAGACATTCATACAGTAGTTTCTTTGAGGATGACGGCACAGGTCTGCATTATCGCCAGCCCCTGAGAGAGAGGGGGCCAAAGACCTGGGCCCCTTTTAGAGGTCCAGTCACCAATCCCCACTCGAGATTGAACTTCTACCACTTTACAAGCAGTAGCTTTGTTGTTAGCATAGAAACCTGCCATCCGTATGGAGCTTAGGGACAACCAATTAAAATTTTCTTGGTATCAAATGCATAAATGACTTAAAAAAAATGTTTGACTGTTGTGCTAGGAAATAGTAGATCTTATTCATTCTTTGTAACTATCTTTTTTTACCCATTAACCATTGCCACTTCTCCCCACTTACTACCCTTCCCAGCCCCTGGTAATCATCCTTCTACTCTCTATCTCCATGAGTTCAATTGTTTTAGTTTTTTAGTTCTCACAGATAAGTGAGAACATATGAAGTTTGTCTTTCTATGCCTGACTACTTCACTTAACATAATGACCTCCAATTCCATTCATGTTGTTGCAAATGACAGGATCACATTCTTTTATTTATTTTTTAAATGGCTGAATAGCACTCCATTGTGTATATCTGCCACATTTTCTTTATCCACTTGTCTGTTGATGGACATGTAGGTTGTTTCCAAATCTTGGCTATTGTGATTAGTGCTGCGAAAAACATGGGAGTGCAGATATCTCTTTGATATACTGTTTTCCTTTCTTTTGGATATATACATAGGAGTCGGATTGCTGGTATGGTAGCTATTTTTAGTTTTTTTGAGGAACTTCCAAACTGTTATACTGGTTATACTAATTTACATTCTCACCAACAGTGTATGAGGGTTCCCTTTTCTCAATATCCTCACCAACATTCGTTATTGCCTATCTTTTAGATAAGAGCCATTTTAACCAGGGTGAGATGATACCTCATTGCAGTTTTGACTTGCATTTCTCTGATGATCAATGACGTTGAGCACTTTTCTGTAAGCCTCTTTGCCATTTGTCTGTTTTCTTCACTCAAGAAGTCTTTGTCCAGTCCAATGTCCTGGAGAGTTTCTCCAGTGTTTTCTTTTTGCAGTTTAATAGATTGAGGTCTTAGATTTAAGTCTTTAATCCATTTTGATTTGATTTTTTATGTGAGAAGAGATAGGAGTCTAGTTTCATTCTTCTGCATATGGATATCCAGTTTTCTCAGCACCATTTATTGAAGAGACTGTCCAGTACATATTATTGGCACCTTTGTTGAAAATGAGTTCACTGTGGATGTATGGATGTATGTATGGATGTATGTATTCTGGGTTCTGTACTCTGTCCCACTGGTCTGTGTATCTGTTTTTATGCCAGTACCATGCCATTTTGGTTACTATAGCTCTGTAGTGTAATTTAAAGTCTGGTAATGTGAATTCTCCAGTTTTGTTCCTTTTTCTCGAGATAGCTTTGACTATTTTGGATCTTTATGGTTCTGTATAAATTTTAGGATTTTTTTTTTCTATGAAGAATGTCATTGGTATTTTGTTAGGGACTGCATTGAATCTGTAGATTGCTTTGGTATTGACATTTTAACAATATTGATTCTTCCCATCCATGAACGTGAAATATCTTTGAACATTTTTGTGTCCTCTTTAATGTAATTCATCAATATTTTATAGTTTGCATTGTATAGATATTTTACTTCTTTGGTTAATTCTGAGATACTTAATTTTATTTGTAACTACTGTAAATGGGATTACTTTCTTGCTTTCTTTTTCAGATTGTTTACTGTTAGCA